CAAAAATGTGTTTTTAGGAATTGTTCATAGTAAAATGTTTCTTTTCTTCTATTTTATTTCTTTCATGCCACTGACAACCCTGTGAAAATACCTTATTTATCACTTTAGAGATTTGGGTCTGGGACTCCCCAGCTAAAATGTTGGATTTTTGAAAGCCTATTCTCCACTGTATGTCCAACTCCTAAAACTATGTATGATAGGTACTTAATAAACTTTTATCATATAAATAAAATTTCAAGAAAGATATGGTAAATATATAAACAAATTGGAAATCATACATTTATAAAAGTGTAATATGTTGAACGAAAATTCCTAAGGACAGAAATGAATATTTAAAGTTGATATGAAACCTTTATCTCTGAAAGAGTTGCGCCTTTTACTACTAGAGTCATCTAGAAAAAAGACATTATGTTGTGACAGAAACCCCAAAATAGAATGAAGATCAAATTTCTCCAGAATAAATGACCAGAAAATACAGAGTTTAGAGTTTAGTCTTCTTTTCTTTCTTTCTTTTTTTTTTTTTTTTTGAGATGGAGTCTCCCTCTATTGCCCAGGCTGGAGTGCAGTGGCATGATCTTGGCTCATTGCAACCTCTGCCTCATGGGATCAAGAATTCTCCTGCCTCAGCCTCTCAAGTAGCTGAGATTACGAATGTCTGCCATCTCGCCAAGCTAATTATTGTATTTTTAGTAGATACAGGGTTTCACCACTTGGCCAGGCCGATCTTGAACTCCTGGCCTCATGATCCACCCGCCTCGGCCTCCCAAAGTGCTGGGATTACAGGCGTGAGCCACCACACCTGGCCAGTCTTCTTTTCAAAACAGATCTTCAGCATACATCACAGGATTTTTTTTTCTTGACTTTAGTCATCCTTTCTGTCAATGGAATATACAACTCTTGTTTGGTAATTCCCAGAGTTTCTCAAAGGAGCCCTGACAATATGGAATTGGAGTGAAATATATCAAGCTTTCTAAATTCATATTTTAGAAAACAGAGGGAAAAAATGAAATACTATTCTGTACTTTACTCTGATAGGCTACCTCATCTCTGGGCTGACTCCCTTGTGTTTTCTATAAGGAATATATACTGCCATTAAGGAGGCTCTACAAAAGTGGGAAAAACTGAAATCCTGGAGTTTCACCTAATTTTGGCAGCTATCAGATGTTGCCAGTAGTCAACTAGCCTCAAAATACTTAAAAGCCTGCAACATTTTAATAAAATAGCAGTAGTAGCAGCAATAATAATAAAGCTTTGCTGGATCTGAGACTTAGATATAATGTAATCTGTTAGTTTCTGAAGTATGTGTTGTGTTGTTATTGCCTTTATAACAGCTCTGAATGAATGGTTAACTTTCTGCTTGGGTAATTGTATCCCAGTGAAAGAGGGGCCCAGTTAATGTTGTTGCTTGCAAGCCACAACCAATATATGGTTTCAGCAAAGAACTGGGGATTCTTGAGGAAACCACCTTCCCAAACACTTGACCCTTGGTTTAATAAACAGCTTGTTGAGAGAGTGACCTGCCATTCGTCTTCGTTTCAGCAGCACTGATCACATCTGGTGAACCCTTGTCAGGGAGCTCTGGGTAGGAGAAGCAGTGTCAGCAAGGCAAACCTCAGCTTTTACACACTCCAAATGCAAACATGCAGATCCCATGGTAGCATGCACTCCCTGTGTAATGTTCCATGCAGTGTATTTTTAATGAAGCTTCTGAATTGAAATTCAAAATAGTACAAAGTTCTGTGGTTCCAGTCTGGGCAATATGGTGAAACCCCATCTCTACAAAAAGTTAGCCAAGCTTGGTGGCACGTACCTGGAATCCCAGCTACCCAGAAGGCTGAGGTGAAAGAAACACTTGAGCCTGAGAGGCAGAGGTTGCAGTGACCCAGATTGAGCCACTGCACTCCATCCTGAGTGACGGAGAGAGACGCTGTGTCAAAGAAAAAGTTATATGGTTAAACTAGTGTTGCCAAGAATATACAATCCTTTGTATTTTTGGATTTTTAAGATAAAAAAATTGTCTTTGTTATAGCTGTGCCTGTTTTCTTTCTATTCAAATTTTCAAGGATTTTTAAAAAGCAAAACATCAACATAAAGACATATGGTCAGTCTTTAAATATAAAAGAGAAAACCCATTTTAAAGTAACCTTAGAGAAATATTGCTCTTCAGTGACACAGCTATCACCTAAACATGTTGTTTCATGAATGTTTGAAGTTCTATTGAGACCCTATTGTCACATCTTTTCCCCTTAAGTCTGATATTGAAAAAGGAAGGGACAAAAAATAGCTATTCTTTTTGTACTGCAGTAATTCCATAGTATCACAGTTTAAAAGTTGATACTTGGCCAAACTTCCAGAAGGCCCAAAGTCATAAGGATTTAGTAGCTGAGGTCTGCTTAGCAGCAAATTGAGGGCAGGTGCTTTGCAGCAAATGGAGGACAGGTGCAAATGATGACTGCCACTTGCAAACACGTAATCTCTAAATATTCCCAGGACTTCTGTTTTTTTTTTTTTTTTTTTTCTGTGTGCAAACCCAATTGTTATCATGAAGAAAGAGGACAGGACAGCCCAAATTTTTATTTATGGCTTTCCTGAAGTTGCACAAGAAGAAATGGGCCTACCCTAAGAATATCAGAAATGAGTCAGAAAGAGAAAACCTAGACTTCTTTCTCCAGGAGAATTTTCCTTAAGCACCTTAGGTTTGTGTAGACAGCTACCTTCCAGGATGCAGAAGTTTCAGGAATGCTTGTCTATTCTTCTCCAAACACATACTCTTTAGCAGTGAAGTGCAGTATACTCAGGGCTCCTGCAGTGTTCCTTTAGCAGGGAACAACATGGAGAGAGACTTCTACCTGTGTTTGAATGCTGACCTACGAACTTGAGGGTGATTCATTATTGAACCTCTCGAAGCCTTGGATTCCTCATTAGTAAAAGGAGGATAATAATCATGTCTGCCTCAGGTGATGATGGAGACTACAGGAGGTAGTTCCTTAGTATAGTTCCTGGCAAATCTCAGGAAATCAAAGCTGCTATTATAATGATGTTTATTATTGTTATTACACAGCTAGAAAAAAGAAAAAGAAAATAGTCCTGGGAGAATAACACACAGATGTCATTGTCAAAAGGAAAAAAATATCAAAGTAGGGGTGGCGGCAGGAGGGACAGGCATTTTTGGGCCTCTCATGCCTCATTGTTTTGCTTAATGGCAACTTATTTTCCCAACCTCCGATTGCATAGAGTTTGTACTACCTTTTTCACTTTTTAACTTTTAAAATTATGCCCTTTTTTGTGTTTTACTCATTTCCCTATCCAGCCTAAGACAGCATCTAAAATATATTGGAACTGTAGAAATATTTGCTCAATGGCTGATTTGAAATTTTAAAAGTAAAAAACCTGGTTTCTATTTCTGTTTACTAGAACTACCAGGGCCTGCTATACTGTATAAGTAATAAATGCTTAGCAAATGCTTTTTAGAACATTGGTTAAAATAGATCATTAAGTGTAAGGTGAGATTTTCTCATCTTTACAAATAGTATGGGCTGGGCAAGTTGGCTCACATCTGTAATATCAGCACTCTGGGAGGCTAAGGCAGGAGGATTACATGAGGCCATAAGTTCAAGACCAGCCTGGACAACATAACTAGACCCTGTCTCTACCATAAATAAATAAAAATTTTTAAAAATTTAGCTGGGCGGTCGGGCGCGGTGGCTCACACCTGTAATCCCAGCACTTTGGGAGGCCGAGGTGGGCAGATCACGAGGTCAAGAGATCAAGATCATCCTGAGCAACATAGTGAAACCCCATCTCTACTAAAAGTACAAAAATTAGCCGGGCATGGTGGCGTGTGCCTGTAGTCCCAGCTACTCGGGAGGCTGAAGCGGAAGAATCGCTTGAACCCAGGAGGCGGAGATTGTAGTGAGCCGAGATTGCACCACTGCACTCCAGCCTGGCGACAGAGCAAGACTCCATCTCAAAAAAAAAAAAAAAAAAATTAGCTGGGCACAGTGGCACAGGCCCGTACTCCTAGCTACTCAGGAGGCTGAATTGGGAGGATCCTATGAGTTTAAGGGTTCAGTCATGCCACTGCCCTCCAGACCGAGACTCTGTCTCTGAGAATAAAATAAATAGTATGGATAAAAGAAAGTCCTGTACAATTCTTCAGTGGTCTTTTTGTTTTGTAATGAGGGTGATGCCCAAGTTCCCACCCAGTGCTATCTGATGGCTAGTTAAATCCTTTTAAGACTCTTACAAGAATAGACTCAAATGTCATGACTCTTGAAAAGTACTGGGATAGTTGAACAAATTTATTATTCCATTTTCTCTGCCTAAAGTCCCAGATAGCAAAATTTTCTAGAGTCTAAATATAATCTAGTATTCGTCAAGTCACTTGAGCACACAGCCCCCATCTTAGATGCTTCCTACCTTTAGTGAAGTGCTGCAGTGTGTTTATTTTCCCTGTGTCTAGGTTTCGCTTGCAACTGCATATTTTTATATGACTTTTTACACTGTGTAGATGTAAATTACTTTTTGGTATACCAAGAGAAAGTAATGCTCTTAAGAAAAAAAAAGTTCACATAGATTTGTAGTTCCTGCAATCTCAAATACACCAAAAAAATAGTTATTCTTATTTTTGTATTGAAAATATGATAGATGGTCTGATAAGGCCAACTTCATTAATGCATTTTATAAGTACTACAATATAATCGTTAATTTGTCCCTACATAGCCTCCAATTACCTCCTCAACTCCTGGTAACAGCCGCAACCTCATCTTTCATTTTTATTACCTACCAGTTAATTGCACTAATAGGTCTTGCTTTTCATTTCTGCATGATTTTCACTAGAAAAAGTGGCAAGTGTTAACTTTTGCTGCTTTTTAGTTAGTAAGTGTTTCAGGCTTTTTACTCAGAGAAAAGCAAGGAAAATGGGCTTTTCAATTTTTCATGGAATTGTGCTTCCTAGTCTCAAAATTCCAGATGACTGCTTCTAACTTTTACTTTTTTAGAAAAGAAGAGGCTTATTTGGGACCAATAAATTTTGCCAGGTAAGGAATGTTGGTAGCTAGATCTGTGTGGTAGGGTATTTTTTTTTCTTTAAAAAAGCTTCTTTAGTATTATTTCCTAATGAATTATAATTTTCTCAATCCATAGACAGCTTTTTTTTGCACAATTTGAACTAACATGAACTAATTTAGTATGACTACTTAATAAGACATTTGTTAATTTAAAAGATATGTTGCAAACACTTAAATATTTTTGAAAGTACTTGTTCATTTTTAACAATGTCTATAAAATGCCAACAATCTTTAACAATGAGAATTTGTTATGTAATTGCAATATCTCCAATAATTTTTGAGTAGTCTACACATTAAATCATTATGATATAAAACAGTTTTGACTATACTAAACTGAGTTATTTGCATTGATCACATTTTAAGATTTATGATAATGATTTTATTCATCCTGAATATTTTATTCATCCTGAAACTTTGTGATTGAATAAAAGAATTATCATTGTTTTAGTTACATGCATCTCATTATGACTACAGAGAACTGGCATTACACTAGCAGAGGAAAAAAATGTAAGTTACCATAAATTGATATCATAGCTATTTTATCTAGCTTTTAGAGCATTGTACTAATGCTAAGAACAACAATTGAGAATTGTACCACTTTATACTTTTGATTTAAAAAGTATCTGAAAGCTTTCTTCATTACTGTCACATTTGGATCACATTGAAAGACTCAAGTATTTGTAGTTATTGCATCAGAGGGCAAATACTCAAAACATTAGTTTGGCAGTGTCTGTTTCAAAATCAGATGCATTGTCAAATGGGGCATTCTTTTTTATTCCGTTTAAAGTCTCTTTTCAAGTAAATCACGTGCCCCAGAGTGACATTTAAATATGAAAATATAACTATAGAATTTTGTGATAAACAGCAGAAGAAAAGAGATCTAGACTAGAAGAAAAAGTGAATCTTTTCCAGAAACCTATAAGGAAATATAGAATTAAGAGAAAAATAAGAAAATCTGCTCCAAGTGAGACAGATGGGGCTGCAATCTTCATACAATTAGTTATAAGTTATCCAAAGGATGAAAAAGCAGCAAGAGTTTATGACAAGTGGCAAAGAAGGGGTAGAAAGGCTGTGCTTATTTAGTTGATTTTATGAGAAAAATTAGGATTACATATAGAAACTGGAGGAGCCGATTCTGGGGAGAGTTTCATGAACTCCACAGAGAGTTTTAGAGAACAGATGGATGGAAACTTTCCTACATTTCTGTTTGGAGTACTCAACCACAACTCACCTTTCAGGGTGGAGAGCTGTCAGCCTTGGAGACACAAGGCATATTTTCAGGCCAGTGTGGTGCAAATGTGAGATTTGAGCAGAATAAAACTATTAGGGGGTGGGCATAGAGGCTCACGCCTGTAATCCCAGCACTTTGGGAGTCCAAGGCAGGCAGATAACCTGAGGTCAGGAGTTTGAGACCAGTCTGGCCAACCTGGTGAAACTCTACTAAACAAACAAACAAAAAACTAGCCAGGTACAGTGGTGGGCACCTGTAATCCCAACTACTTGGGAGGCTGAGGCAGGAAATCACTTGAACATGGGAGACAGTGGTAGCAGTGAGCCAAGATCATGCCACTGCACTCCATTCTGGGCCACAAAGCAAGACTTTGCCTCATAAAAAACAAACAAACAAACAAACAAACAAAAAAAAAAAACTGTATTAGGAGTTATGTGAAAAATTATGTAAGCAGCTAACAATTTTTAAAACTTAATGAGAATATTTATATTCAAAGATCTTGTTGGAGCTGTCAATAGATATAATAGTCAACTAAAAACTTGAAACTAGATATTCGTAAATGTATCTTTTGTCTTTCTATGTTGTGGCAGCATGAGAACAGGTACGATACATGCATTCACTTTGAGGAAAGTTTTAATGTTGATGTTAATTTCAATATATGTTTTAAAAGGAGTAATAGGAAAGTGTACATTAACTCTATCATTTATTGTTTAAGTGTATCTTAATTTGATTTAAAGAAAAAATATTAGTGTATGGATACGGCAAAAAAATGAAAATAGCATGCAGAAAACTGGTATTTAGGAAATATTCATATTGTTTAATCCCTTGTAGCTCACATATCACTAGATGAGAAGTATTTTCCAGAGCCTGAGAACAGAAACTATCTCAATAAAATTCTCTTGTTTTTTAACTTTTGTGGGATTTTTTTCATCCTGCCAAGATAAGTTAGTTAGTTTCATTTTTAAGCCTGTCTAAACTGATTTGCCATGTCTGGTAACTGTCAAAAAGTATAGTTTCATGTTTTGCAAATAGATACATGAGACTTAACTTTTTGTGTTTGTGAATAAAATAAGAAAGTAAACTAGGATTTTATTTTCTGGCCTTTTGACATTTTCTTTGTGCCATGGAGAGTTTTTAAAATTATTATTCTCATTAAATAAAATTTGATACAATCAATTATGACCTTCAAAAGTATGAATCCCTAGATTTTCCAGTAATGATATGATAGATTTAGTAGTTAAACATAATACTCTTAAGAAGTTTTTTCTTTTTTATTTATTAAATTATCTTATATAAAATTGACTTTCTGAGGGGGGAAGTTCTATGAATTTTAACATATGTATAGATTTGTGTAACCATTACATTATAGTTAGGCTATAGAACAGTTCTCTCTCTCCAGAAAACTTCCCTCTTAGCATTTTTTTAAAGATGGAGACAGTGTCTTGCTATGTGCCTAGGCTAGTCTCAAACTCCTGGGCTCAATTGATCCTCCTGCCTCAGCGTCCCAAAGTACTGGGATTATAGGCATAATACTCTGTGCCTGGTACCCTCTTAGAATTTTTAAGTGTTTCAAACCACCATAACTGTTCTTTATTGTGGGAATTCATTGTCCTGTTATCTCTCTTGAATTCATAACCAGAAAATAGGTTGATTTATTATTCAATAACTCTTCAATCCACTTGCCTTTCTAATGTGCTTAAATTCTAATTGCCAATTTTACATTTTGTTGATTTATAATCATGATCAAAGCTAGTAGTCATTTCTTTCTCTGTCAAATATCATCAACTAATCCAGTCTTAATCTCTAACCTTAGGAGATTTCCTGGACAATGGTGTCAATGAATCTGTCCTCATTCATGTTACATCTGTTTATGAGTAATGTTTTGTTCGTCATCTGCATTGCTTTTTGAACTGCCAGTTGTCTGATGTAAATGCTGGAGTTTATTATCTGGAGTACACAAGAGAGTCACTGCTGTGTCTCTTTTCTAGGCTCCACAGAGCTAGGTGTTTCTTTCCCTGAGTGTTTTAATGACTTTGTGCCATACATTTTCTGTTTGAGTACTTGTATCACTGTATATCTCTCTGAATATATATGATACATGCAAATCAAAAGGGGAAACTCACAAGCTATTAATCAAAACTTTACTTGATTAATATTTAAACAACAGTTGCATATTAGCCAAACTGTTTTAGGCATTTAAGTTTATAGTTGTGACATGCATTTTCAGTAGAATAATTTTCAGTTGATAGCACATGAAAGTTAATAAATTATTGTAAACATATATTCAATCAATACTTTCTGTGCTCTGGTAAGAGCCTGTCATTTATGACTTTACCATAAATCAAAAATTAAGAAGCACATATATTTTTGTAATGATTGTCATTAACATCATTTGAAGCCATCTTAAGTATTATTATCTCATACAGAGAAAACATTAACATTTTTAGCTGGGCATAGTGTGGCACAAGCCTGTAGTCCCAGCTACTTGGGAGGCTGAAGCAAGAGGATCACTTGAGCCCAGAGGTTGAGGCTGCAGTGAACTATGATCATGCCACTGCATTCCAGCTTGGGCAATGGAGCAAGACCCTGTTTCAAGGGAAAAAAATTAATTTTAACCCTCACTTTTAGATCTTAAGTTTTCTTGTTTTATGATTATTCTAAGGTTTTCCAAGGCTCCTTCTATAGAGATAAGGTTTCTTGGAATATGGTGATTCTCTTGTGGTCTTTTTTGAGTTATGTCTTCAAAGCCATTTTTTGTTTCCATTTATGTCATTTTTTTTAATTTTTGGAGAAAAAATATTACTATTGAATGAGATTCTTTATTATTGTTGTTTAGGAACTGCAAGTTAAAATTTTATGGAATATTGCAGCTACTCTTATTTGCTTGTACTATTGACTTTTCTTTGAAGTTACAAATTGACTATTTTCTCATTTATTCTTCAGATGGATCCTGTGCAAAAGGCAGTTATTAACCATACATTTGGAGTATCCATTCCCCCAAAGAAGAAACAAGTTATTTCTTGTAATGTCTGTCAGCTTCGCTTTAATTCTGATGTGAGTATCACCTTTTCATTATTCTCTGTAGTTCTTCAGAGCTGAAAGTCTGATCTGAATATATACATTTCTTCCTATTTACATACTCTTTAAAAGCCACTCATATTGGTAGCCCACTTAATTCAGGATGCCAGATTTTCAAGGGATTTGGGTTCAGTGCCTTAAACTTGAACAGTAGAGTATAGTTGGCCGTCTGCATCCACAGGCTCCATATCCATGGATTCAGCCTAGCTCACATTGACGGCATCTTTTAGAATAACAATACAACAATAAAAAATAGTACAGAATTTAAAACCAGTAGAGGATTATAGACAATAGTCTATATGTGACTAATATCAAAAATTAAGAATGTATCTATGCAATCAGTCTCAACTATATCATTTTACACTTAATTTCACTAATTATATTTACTTGTCAAAACTACTTGAATAGCAGAAAATATGAAAAAAGTTTTAAAATGTAATGAAGATACTTTAAAAATTAAAATGCAATAAATGCTGAAGAAAACCATTTTTACTATTTGATATCAAGTGCCACATTTCATGTTTGTGTCAAATTTTGTTAAATATCTAAGAGAATTATTAATTCCCTATATGATTTATATTTTCCCAGAATATAAAACACAGAGAAAGTTTCATAAATTATTTTACCTGGCTAGCATAACCATCCCGCTAGAAAAAGATAAGAAAATGGAACAAATCAAACTCTTTTATGAAAATGGGTTTCTAAATTTATAAACAAAATAACAGGAAGGCAAAATAAGCAATATTAGAATATTTGCAATATCCAATTACCAAGTAAAGCCAATGACCAAAGTAAATAAGAATCTGAAGGCTGCATATAATGTGTGGTAATTCCTGAGTTACTTGACCCCAGAAGCCACTTTGAAAAGAGCTTGTTACAGAATTAATGTTGTTTAGAAATACTAAAATAATAATTACTCTTGTTTGCATATACTATTATGTTTTAATAATTTACATGGGAAGCTAATAAAAATTATAGTCTTTGGAAAGGAGATGTTTATCATGATTTATAAAATTATATTTAATATAATTTTAATCAAAAGTCCAATGATTTTTTTAGTACATGATAAAACTGCATATTCAGGAATCAAAATGTATCTAAATAAACTGAAAAATATACAGTGTTAATTCATTTGAAGTCTAATATTGTTAAGATGTCAGTTCTCCCCCCAGCTGATCTGTAGATGCAGCACAATCTTGATGAAAATCCCAAAATGCTTTTTTAGTGTAGAAAATGGTAAGCTGTTTCTTAAATATACATAGAAAAGAAAAGCCCTAGAATAGCCAAAACATTTTCTTAAAGAACAAATTTTGAAGACTTAACACTTCCTGATTTTAATACTTTCTCTAAAATCTACAATAATCAAGACTGTGAAATTGGTAAAAGAATGGTAGACACATGGATCAATGGAACAGAACAGAGTCCAGAAATATGACTCACACCAACATAGTCAATTGATTTTCAACAAAGTTGCAGAGTGAATTCAATAAAGAAAGGCTAATCTTTTCAACAAATAATGCTAGAAAAATTTCATATTCATCTGTAAATTTAAAAAACACCTTGACTGCTCCTGAGACAAAACATAAAAATTAATTCAATGGGAGCATTCATAAAATAAATTTTTTTTTAAAGTATTAAACTTCTAGATGAAAACAGTAGAAAATCTCTTTGGCTTTGCATTAGGCAAAAATTTCTTAGAAAATAAAAACTGTGAACCATATGAATTTTTATATATTGGACTTTATCAAAATTTAAAACTTCTGCTCTAGAAGACACTGTTAACACTGTTAAGAAAATGAAAAAAAAAGCTATAGACTGGGATAAAAATATTTGTATCTGCTTAAGAACGTCCATACAAAATATATAAATAACTTATAATTCAATAATAAATGATAAAATGGGAAAATGATTTGAATAGGCACTTTACCAAAGAAGAAATATGAATGACAAATAAGCACATAAAAAGATGCTCAACATGTTCAATGATTAAGGAAATACAAATTAAAACCACAATCAGATACCTATTAGAATGATGAAAATTAAACAAATTGATAGGTTCAAATGGCCAGGATGATGAGCAACTGGACCTCTCATACATTGCTAGTGAGAATACAAAATGGTACAGCCACTTTGGAAAACAATTTAGCAGTAATTTTTAAGAAACTTTATAAAGTTATACATACATTTCCCATATGATCCAGCAATCCCACTTCTAAGTATATACCCTAGGCAAATGAAAACATATATTTATCCATATGTGCTGCTTAAAGTAATTTTATTCATAACTTCCCAAAACTGGAATTGACCCAAATGTCCATCAACTGTTGAATAAACAAACTATGTTAAAGCCATACAATGGAAATAAAGAAATAAAAGTAAATAGAAATAAAGTAAAAGAAAAAGAAAGTACTGATACATGCTACAACATGGAGGAATTTCAAAGGCAGTATGCTAAGTGAGGGAAGTAAGACACAAAGACTATATACTGTATGATTGCACTTGGATAACTTTCTGCAAAAGATGAAACTATGGGGACAGTCAGATAAGTGGTTAACAGGGGCTGAGGGTTAAGTTAGGGATTTGACCACAAAGGAGAATGCAGAAACCTTTTTGGATGATGAAAATATTCTGTATCTTTATTGCTGTGATGTTTACCTAACAGTCTTTGTTTTTCAAAATTCATTAACCTGAATACCTAAAAAAAAATTGTACTATATTTAGAGTTTGCTTTAGTAAACCTAACTAGAAAAAATTAATGATATGAGCCACAAAATATCTTATAAATAGAAGACTAGCTTATGATAGAGACATAACTACTAAATATTTTAAACTACAATATTACTACTAGATTAAAAGTATAATAAAATACTTTTATAAGAATAGACACAATAATTAATATTGAAATAGATTCAAGTAAATTTAACAGTATTGCTCAGTTATTCAAATTTTTAGAGTTATACTGAGAAATTAAAGTTTATTGTTATATAAATATGACATGAAAATGTTTACTACTTACCTGACCACTTATAAAATGAATGCCCAACTAAAGGCATGCTGCATCTTTAACACTGTTACTGCCACAAGGCCAGATACTTAAAAACATCTCACATTACAATGCAAACAATAGATTTCATAATGAAATTGCAAAAATTGTACAAAAGATGCATAATTTTATGAAGTTTGCTAATGTAATGTTAGAGAACTGCTTGGTTCAAAGCCACTGAAAAATTAGGATTTGTCTATTAGAAGAGTTGATTTACAAAGAGTAAAATAACAAGGTTGATTATGGATAGATTCTTCAGAACAAAAGATGTTGAACACTGACTGAATAATAGAAGCTCAGAGACAATTATGAATTCCTCGAATTAAAAAAGTAACATATTTATAGTTCAAAACTGTGATAATATTAAAAAACATATTGAGGGTGGGTGCAATGGCTCATGCCTGTAATCCCAGAACTTTGGGAGGCTGAGGCAGGTGGATCTCTTGAGGTCAGGAGTTCGAGGCCAGCCTGACCGATGGTGAAAGCCCATCTCTACCAAAAATACAAAATGAGCCAAGCAGGGTGGCATACACCTGTAATCCCAGCTACTTGGGAGGCTGAGGCAGGAGAATCGCTTGAACCTGGGTAGCAGAGGTTGCAGTAAGCTGAGACTGCTCCGTTGCACTCCAGCCTGGGCAACAAGAACAAAACTCCATCTCAACACAGACAAACACACACACACACACACGCACACACACACATACACACACACACACACACACACACACAGAATCCCTTTCCCCTTCTTTCCAACCTTTGTGTCATTCCCTATTTGTAACTACTTTAATATTTTAATATTTTTTGCCTATCTCTCCAGGGTTTGCTTATGCAAATATAACTAAGTATAAATCCATATTCTTATTTCCTTCCTTTTCTATGTAAATGGTAGCATACTACTGACACTCTTCTTTGCCTTGCATTTTTTATGTAACAATAGATTCTGGAGAATATTTTCTATCTGAACATAGAGAGCTCCCTTACTCTATTTATAGATGTGGTAGGCAAAGATGCCCATATCCTAATTTCTGGAACTTGTCAATGTATCTTACATAACAAAGGGGAATTAAGGTAGTGGATGGAATTAAGGGAACTAATATTCTGACCTCATGATAAAAGGACTACCCTGTATCATCTTGTGGTCCCATTGTAATCAGCAGGTCTTTAAAAGTAGAAGAGGGAGGCAGAAGAGGGAGTCAGAGTGAGCCTATCTGACAAGGAGTCCACTGGCCATTGCTGGCTTTGCAGGGGAAGGGAGAAGCCACAAGCCAAGTAATGTGGGCAACCTCTAGAAGCTGGAAAAGACAAATAAATGGATTTTCCCTTAGAGCCTCCAGAAGGAATGCAGCCCTGCCCACACCTTGGTGTTAGCCCAGTGAGACCCATGCCAAATTTCTGACCCACGGAACTATAAGATTATAAACCACTAAGTTTATAAAAAATTTGCTATGAAAGCAACAGAAAACTAATTCAGTAGTTTATTTGTAGATGTTTCATAGTTTAACTCATCCCTTACAGGTGGACACTTAGATTGTTCCTATCTTTATTATCTCCTAGATTTTTAGTCTATAAATGGCAGAGCTAGGACATAAGTCTGGATCTCTTGCCTCTAAATCTACAGCTCTTATTTTGTTGCCTCACATAACTTTACTCATTTCCTGAGCATTTACTAAACTCTTCCTGTGTGATAAACACTTTGCTAATCTCTACAATATGGCCTGAAATGGACCACATGATCTTTAGGAGGACCATTCAAGTTCTAGAAATCATTTCCATGGTATCTGTCAGGAGCATAGGATATAAACACCTCCATCTTAAAATCAACAGCTAAAACCCAGAAAAAATGACTATGAATTTGTTTTTATTTGTGTTGTGGGCTGAGTTGGGGGAGGCCTAAGAATTTCATTCAAGCCCCAGAATTATTCCATGAGTAGGT